ATAACTATAGAGTAAAAAGTGCATAAAAGCCAATTTGAAAATGATTCCAGGGGGCCAAGGATATAGCTCATTACAATAAGTGCTTGCCTGGCAAGTGCAAAGGCCTGAGTTCAATCCACAAAAAAAAAAAAAAAAAAAAAAGCAAAAAACCAAAATGACCCCAGTATAGAAACTTACTCAATACTAAAAAGTGTTCACTATAAAATTAAATTGAAGGAGAAAAGAGACATGAAAATTTCAGTAAAAGAAAATTATGTGAAAGAAGAAAAGATTCACAGTGAAAACAAAAGTAGCTGATTAATATCTGGCAACAAAAAAAGTAACTAAGACATTTGGGAGAAGCGAGGCACCAAATGATGAAACACATATTATGGTCTTTTTTTTTTTTTTTTTTTTTTTTTTTTCAGAACCGGGGATTGAACTCAGGCCCTTGCGCTTGCCAGGGAAACGCTTATTCCACTGAGCCATCTCCCCGGCCCCGAAGCACATATTATGACAAGCTCTGTGAGTCAGAAGCAATGCAGCTATGTCTATTCTCAAAGCATGTGCTTAACACCATAATTAGGCCAAAGAAAGTGCACTGACACAAGCAAGGTATATGAAAGGAGCAAGGTTCCACAAGGAAACCAAAATTCTCATTATTTACAGAGATTATCATTTTCCAAAGAGAAAAACCCAAAGGAGCCCGAGACAGCGAGCTCACATTGTAGTTCACTTGGTACCCAATGTGCTCCTCAGCCACTGCACTTCTGTATATACCGGAACTGAAAGGCAGGGTGCTCAGATCTCACTCGATCAACGAAGTCCTATGTGGGTGGTTAAAGACTTCAATGTGAAGATCAGAACATCAAAACTTCTACTACAAGAGCAATATATTCGTTTCACAATGAGAAAAAAGAAGTTAAAGAATTCAGATAGGAAGAAAAACTATGAAGAGTGACATTTTAACTAAAATGAAAAATAAAAAAAAATATTCATTATCAGAATCAAATGTCACTCATAAGAAAGATGTGTTTGTGACAAGTGAAGAAGTGTTACTCTAGGACATACAAAGTACTCCTATAAGTCATTTTTTAAAAAATGTATTTGGTGTAGTTGCTCAGACCACAGATATCAGCGTGCAGAATTAGTAAGGGTGAAAATTCTAAACATTAACTGCTATTTAAAACAACTGGACTGGCCAAATAGCTCAGCGGATTGAAGCGCATGCAAGCAGGTGCAGAGGCCGTGTGTTCAATCCCTGGGCCTACTGTGCTGGCCCTGCCCCGGGGGCACACTGAGACAGCAATTGAGACTAGACATGGTAGCGCATGCCTGTAATCTCAGCTCTTAGGAGGCTGTAAACAGGCAGATCACTGAATCCAGTCTAGTGGCAAGACCTTGAATACCCTGTGGACCCTTCCCTAAAACACACACACACACAAAAAGATGGCAATTTTTAGAACAATAATCTCAGACATCCTTTATATTTGCTTGCATAATTTGTGCCCCTTCTTTGTATCCTATCTTTTCTCCCTTCTCTCATCTTCATTATTTAATCCTCAAATTCAGCTTCTTTCCATTATGCTCTATCTATTTTACCATTCAAGTTTTATTTATTCTTTCAGGAACTGATATTAAAGAAACAATATAGTATTTGCACATGTGGGTCTGATACATTTTACTTATGATTATAGTCCCTGCTTGCATTCAATTCCCTATAAAGGCTTTGAGTTTGTCTTTTTTATAGCTGAGTAGTACTGCATGGTATAAAAACATCACATCTATTCCTCAAGTGAGGAGCATTTTGGTTGTTTTCAAGATTTGGCCATGACAAACTCTGCTGCTATAAACACTGGTGCACATATGTCACAATGGTATGATGTTTTCAGTTCTTTTTGGGAAAATGCTCACAATGGGAATAGCTGGATTGAATGGGATCTCCAGTCCTTGTTCTTTGAGGAGTCTTACACTGATCTCCGTAGCAAAACCCTCCATTGAATAGCTCTCTTCTTCGTCTTCTAAATGTGCACCATTTCTAATGTCTTATCAATTATTATACTCTTTAACATAAATTTTACAAAAAGATTTAAAGGAAAAATAAATTTCTTAAAACTACTATGCAATTATTTGTACAATCTTGCTTAACTATATCTGTTAATCTGAGCAACAGATTTGATGACAAAAATAGATAATATAACAACCATTGTGAATTAGCTATTCCTGTTTTGAAAATCTGTAACATATGTATTGTATGTTACCCTGCTTCTGTCTTTTTTTTCTATTTATTTTTGCTTCTGTTTTTTACTCTTCAAAATAAAATAAAATAAAAATAAATTTTAAAAAAATGCATCAGTTAAAGGTTCTGACTATGCAACTTGGACTCATAGTGATCATCCTGTTTTCAGCCTCCCCAGCACTAGGATTATAGGCATGTGCCACTACACCCAATCTCATTGACCAGCCTATGTTCACAGGCTGGCCTGGCATGTGGTGCCAGGGATCAAACCCCAATCCGTATGCTTGCCTAAGCAGGCATTTAGTCCACTGAACAATCTACCTGGGTCAAAGAAAGTGATTTAAAAACTCTCCAAATAAACAAGCACTGAAGTTATACTCGTGTAACAGCAAATAATTGAGAAGATGTTTTCAACTCAAACAGTGTTTCAATTTACAACTTTCCTCACTTCTTAAGTTTTGAGGGTTTCACTTTATTGAATGGACTGAGAATGTTTACAAAAGAGATGCTTATTAAATTACAAATATTCTTTTCACTGTCATTTTATTAGTGACACTATTTTCAAGGAGCATGAAATTTAAGATAAAATTTATTTGCATTTCACTAACATTATAAGCAGTGTATTAACCATATTTTATATATTCATTTACCCATGAATTACATAGGAATGCTTTCTTCATTGATTCTAGAAAAAAATCTTAATAAGTATATAAAACACACAACATAGTCTGAAGAGCAGACATATATATTGAAAAATTAGATCATTTTTCATTGACAGCAATTTCCAACCATTTGCTTCCAACAAACCCAGTCAAGATTTCTCTAAACTGAAATCATAAGCATCTTATTAACAGGAGGGTCTCCAATTCTATTCCTTCTCTCAGTTAATATATTATTTTTTTTCCAGATCAGCAAACTAATGTTCTAGTATATCTGCTGCATCCTTGAATACCTTCTTTGATTATTTTTTTAATTGAAATCTGCATTGTAAACATATTCAGAAAAATTTTGTATTTCTCTGCATTAAAAGCACTTTTTAAAATTCTATTTGGTACAGGATCCCACTTCACAGCTTGGCCTCATAGTGATCCTCCTGTTTTCAGCTTCCCCAGCACTGGGATTATAGGCGTGAGCCACCACAGCTGGTCTCAGTGGTCTGCTCAGCACGACTAGGGGTGGAGCCGGCATGCATGTGGTGCTGGGTCAAACCCTGGTATCCGTGCTTGTCCAAGCTTGTGGGTATACTTATTTAAGAATATTCAATACTGCTTCTTCAAATACTCAAATAAAAAACTTGGGATAACAAAAATACAAACACCTTAAGAGATTACTGCCCCATTATAAGAATGCCCACAACCAATTTCAGCATTGTGGTGTAAAGATCTGTGCACCAAACTCATCATGGCCTGCCTTATAGATAAAATGTACAACTAAAATAAAGGAAAATCCATAGAGAAAACAGAAATGTAGAATTTTTTGAAGACACAGTGTGACTTTTCTGTTTGGGCCATGTGTTGCCGTGGTTCTGACCAACATGGCACCTTACAGTGGACAGGCTGTGCTGTGTGTCACTCATGACAGTACCAGAAAGCCAGCAACAGTACATCACCCTACATTATTTTCTTTTTCAACTCACTGTATGTTTTTTCTTGATTGATATAAGTCTAATTAAAATGCCCTTCAAGAATAAGGACTAAACTGGAGAAGTCACTTCTAACATAGTACCAAACAGAGCAGCAGCTCAGTTAAAATATCTCTGAGCTCATTTTCATTCTGCAAGCACAATGCATGCAAAATAGTAATATAGAACACACATGTGTACACACACACACACACACACACGCGCGCGCGCATATTAAGATCTGAGTTTTAAATTGTATAGCAACTCAGAAAATCATATTGAGTTGTTTACTCAACTTGTGTTCTGAATGTAATCTATATATGGTTTCTGAAATTCTAAATGTACAATAATTTATACAATAATATACAGTAATTTTCACTAGTTTTAATAGTTGTATAAGCATGAACTTACAGGCAAACTGGAGTTTAGCTTCTCTGCTGACAATTGTTCCAAGTGAATTTGTTGCAAAACATTGGTAATTTCCAGTATCCCAATTTCTGTTGGGGTTAAAAACCACAAGATTTCCACCATTCAACTTGTAACGATGCTCCATACTCAGATCAATATCACTTCCATTTAGCTGCCATCTGTGAAAAGAAATGTCAAGGGATTTTTCCTTTTCTTAGACTTTTCTCCAGGTACTTAGGATTGAACCCAGGTCATCTGTACTGAACTATATTCCAAACACATTTTTTTGAGATAGGGTCTCTTTAAATTACTATGCTTCCCAAGCTAAGCTTAAACTTGAGATCTTTTGTACCTGAGCCTCCCAAAGTGCTGAGTTTACAGGAATGTGCCCCCAGACCCAACCAGCATTTTAAAAAAATGTTTTGGTTGTTACAGGGTCTCACCATGCAGCTTGGACTCATAGCAATCCTCCTGTTTCAGCCTCCCCAGCACTGGGATTCCAGGCATACACCACCCCACCTGGACTCTGCCCTGCTCAGCCCACCCTGGGGAGGGCTGGAGAGGAACGTGGTACTGGGGATTGACCTGCAGTCGCTGCATTTGCCTAAGCCTGCCTAAGCAGGCACTTTAGTCTGCTGAACTGTCGCTGGCCCCCCAACAAGCATTTTTTTGTGCCTCATTCAGCCCACTCTGGGGCAGAGCTGGCATGGCATGTGGTACGAGGGATCGAACTGCAGTCCCTGAACTTTGCCTAACCGTGCCTAAGTAGGCGCTTTAGGCTGCTGAGCTATCTCACCAGCCCTAACTAGCATTTTAAATTTAAGAAAAACTCTACATTGTAAAATGTACTTTACATATTATTCCCTCATAACGTGACATATGCTATCTGAGTGAACCAATGTGACCATTATTTATCAGAAAACAAGCGTTAAAATGCAGTAGAAAGGACAACAAAGTACCATCTCAAAAATATTTTTAAGGGTTTTCTGAAGAGGTGAGACTAATTTAGTTTCTTCACACTAGGGAAAAATTAGGCTATGTCTTTATAGGCAAAGTTAAAGTAAAAGTTGAGAAAATTATCTAAGATACTTCAGACCAATCTCATGCTGACAATGAAAGTGGAAAGAGCACATTTCTTTGATTTACCAGACTGACTGAGCACATTTAATGCATTAATTGAGTAAGTGTTCAACTATTCTGATCAATTTGTCTGGGTAAATACCTGTCTCCAAGGCATTCTCCACTTTCCAGAGCAATCATAGTCCTATTTACAAAATGGCACACTGTGGCAAAAGACCCTAAACACCACACAGGGGGCCTGAAAAAATGGAGCCATGAACCCCAGAGACACACTTAGCAAAGGGAAGCCAGAAAGAAGAAAGAAGTTTGTTTTTAAATAAGTTTCAACTAGAAAAGTAAGAGTTTTTGAACAGTAAGTACATTAGACACATCAAATTAGATTTCACCTTTAAAAACTCACTCCTACCTCACAATTTCAAGGTCATATCCCTTATATAAATTTAGAATTCCCTTGCTTTGTTTTGGTCTTAACCATCCAGCAGAAAAGTATGAAAACAAGGTATAAAAAGTAAAGCTGTATTAATATGCTGAGCTGTAAGAGGCTCAAGTCAACAACTTCTGACTTTGCCAGTCCTACTAGCACTAGTATCCACTACTTTTATGGACTACTGGACTATATTGGATTGTTTTGCTGAATTCATGCCCCTACAATATTTAAATGGCAATTGAATACACATCTCTGACAAATCCAAACAGAAAAGGGGGATATAAATGGAGGACCATTTTGTAGTTAAAAAATATATACATATATCTGTATATACAAATTAGTTAGGATAGATATGCAGCTACTTTCTCTTAATTCAATGAAAAGAAATATTTGTACTAGTACTGTTTGGACAGGACATCATGTCTGCATCTTGTGCTATGAATAACTACTACGAAGACAACAATATGCAGTGTATTAATTATTTAACTGTACTACTAATCTGTTTTGAAACTGTCTCATTTGTATTTATTCCTCAATAAAATTAATAAAAAGGATATCATACAGTGAAAAAAACCCAAAAACAATAAATAAATACATAAATAAATAAATTTAGAATTCCATTTTCTAGACACAGCAATTGTAACAATAACACTGTCATCAGTTCTATACATTGTAGCACAGTGTGAAAATTGTCTTGCTTGTTCTTTACTTAAATATCAGAAAACAATGGCCATTTTTAAATGAGAATTTCAGTAAAACATTAGTAGGAGTTGTAAACTGCCCTCCATCTATTAATTCCCCCAATTAGGTAACTGTCCCCAATCTACATCATAGTTCTCTGATTACACAATGAGACATGTGAAAATTACTAATTCACAGAATATTGAATCTGTTCACCTTCACTGTCAAAACTATGTGGAGCCGGATGGTGCACGGCCTCTCAAGTGGAGGTGGAGCAAGTGTAAAAAATGTGAAAATGGATGAGAAGGCAAATAACAGGACAAAATAGCAAGTGTAAAGACACAATTTATATGAAGTTTAAAAACACCAACAGTAATAATGAAAGTAGAATAATGTCCTTTTAGTGGATGAAAGTGGCAACATCCATAATAAGCTATCATGAGGAGAAGGGGAGCCACGTTTAGGGACCATTCAGTGGGAAACGTAAAGCTTTTCAGCTTTACTTCCCAAAATAAATGGTGGTTTTATGAGCATTTATCATTATACTTTATTGTAAGTTGTTATCATTTTCTCCATATATAATACGATATAATGAAATTCAAGTGCCTGGTAAGAATAGAAAATAAGTAAGCCTTAAGTTTAATCTATTATTCCAAGTATTTTTTTTTTTTTTTTTTTTGGTGGAACCGAGGATTGAACTCAGGCCCTTGCGCTTGCCAGGGAAATGCTTATTCTGCTGAGCCATCTCCCCAGCCCCTCAATTACTACTTTAAAATTTGCTCTTTTTTTACAACCAAAGCAGTCTTAATATTCCTTAAAATTTCAGATACAAGTTTGCTAGGCCTGTAGCCACATTTCTAATGACAGAACAAATAGAAAGCAAGAGAAAAACTCTGAAACCCCTATTCTCTTACAATTAAAAGAACAAAATTAGAAAAGTAAAGCCAAAATCTCTTTTTGATGTTTGGCCAACTTCTGTGAGTTTTGGTTTGGTTATCTTGCAGGTACTCCCTGATTCTTCATAAACATTTAGCTTTCTTTGTAGGTCTGTTTGGACCTATCCCCTACCCTGAGACTTTCAAAGCCCTCACTAGCCCTTCACCCTCTTCTTCCTCTTTTAGTCCTAGAACTACAGAAACTCAGAAAAGTGGAAGTAAAGGAAAGTGTTCACCCAACTTTGTTTGAACCCTGTGAACTCCTGAAAAAGCACAGCAGCAGCAACTGTGTCATCTGATCATGCTTTAGCAATGCACAGTGCTGCTCTAATGACTCAGAATCTATACCTTAAGAAGAGTTCAGAAATTTTCACATGTACATTCGTATTTGAGAAGAAACTGCCTCATTTCATCATTTAGTCAATTTCCTATTTAACACCTTTGACTGTCAAGCTCATCATTCCTTATTGGGTCCCAGTGAGTGACAAACAGGTTTATTGGGTGTTTGTATGCTGGGGAACATTTTAGGTCCTAAAGCTGTGGCAATAGTACCTTGATTTTATGGATATTCTCTTTATTTTTTCCTATTTCCTAGTTATTGCTGCTGCCTACACCCCTTTATCTGGTCCCCAGTCTCTGACTGCACCTTGCAGGTAACAGCATGATGAACAGATACAGGATTCAGACACCAGCACTTATTGATCATTTAGTCCAGTCACCCATGACCATGAGCAAACAGTGCTTAACTCCTCTGAAAATCTGTAACAAATAGAGTGTGCCCTCTTTCCTGGAGGGTTGTCCCATGAATCTAATAAGACAATGTGTGACACTGAGCTCAGGATTGTCCTCCATGTGAATCCACAAGTGGGGGGATGCCATTATTGAGGTGGGAGGTGGCTCTCACCATACATGTGTACTTTGTCACCTCTTTGAAGGGATTTTATTAGATTCCCAACAAGCATGCGATGGTCATATGTCACCCGTTCCATTCCATGTTTTTGGTCATGTCTGCAAATGTGGAACAGACTGCACCTCCCACACATGGATTGTGTGCTATTGTGGCTGCCCTGAGAAGTTAGCCAAAGGTGGGCTGAGACACAGCCGGGCTTAACTTTTAAAGGATAAATCTGAGTGTAAATCACAAAGAAGCATATCTAACTTATAAGGTATATTAAGAGATTCAACATTCAAGTGCAAAAACCTCCTCCAAACTCAAATCAGGACTAATGTTGTTAATTTCACATACTTTTGAAAGGAAGAATCTTATGGCAGAGGTTGTGAATTCTTTACCTGTGAAGTACAATTTGCTTGAGGGAAATTTTTTTTTCAGTTGAAGTGTCAGAATATCTGGGGCTCAGCCATGTTTGATGGCTTCATTTGAAAACTGTTTTTGTATTTAGCTAATGAATAATAAAAGCAGAGTGGCTATATGGAAAATTACAAGGATAAATAAAAATATAAAAAGTACATCTTTATATCTATTTAATAGCTTGAAAGATTTAAAAGCTCATAAAATATTTGAAAAGATACTCTATTTCTGTAAATGTTGAAGACCTAAAAGCTATCATCCAAAAGTTTTGACTAAAGAATCAAAATAGAAAAACATATTCCATTATACATAAATGCTTCTCATTTTCTTTAGCTTGGTTTTCTTCATACAGTTACAATCAGTAGATTATTTCACAATGTGGAAAGGCATAAACTCTTCTCTTTAAAATATATTCTTGCAAAACTAAGAGCATGGTACATATGTTTTAGCTAATTCTTCAGAGCTGAGGTATTTTTAGCTATCTTCAAGAATGTTAGTTTTGTTTTAAAAAACAATATAATTATTTTTCTCCTTCCTAACACTATTCATCATTAAATGGAACTCATTCCCAGGTGATATAAAATTTCTCAGTATCTTATTAAGCACTTTTTCCTCTTGTTGAAAATTTATGAATTCAAAATTGCCTTGTTTAAACTCTGAAATGTGTAAATAATTTCAGTGTCTGGGCCTCCAATGGTTGAGAAGCAAAAAAAAAAAAAAAAAATCTACCTGTGTTTCCAATACAAA